GCCCAAAGCCCCAAACATCAGTTTCTGTAACCCTAAACCCTAAACCCAAAAAGCCATTTTGGCTCAAGCCATTTTGGCTCAAGTGCCCACACAGTTCAGGATCTAGTCTCGTGAATAGGAGAGATGGATGGGGGAGAAGGGGGAGAAGTGATTCCGGTCCCGCATACCCCTACGAGCATCGTTGCCGAGGAGGAGGATGAGGAGAATGGTCAGCTCGACATGGCTTGGGATGCAGCAGAGGAGGACCAGGCTCAGGTGGATGAGGGGGTTGGAAAACGCAAGAGACCCGAAGGCTTCCATCGTCGGCGTGATGAGAGTCCCACCATAAGGGCTGCCGAATCCGAGGAGGGGGCGGTCACAAGTCGTGAACTTCGTCTCCTGCTAGGACAGCACATGAAAGAAATGAGGGAGAGCTGGGGCAGCATCGAAGCCAGGATTGCCGTGTTGGAGGGTGAGGTCAAGGGACATAAGCGGGAGCTCCATGCGATCCATACCAAACTCAAGGCCAGCGACCAGAGGACCCAGCAGATCCAGGCCAAGGGTGATGCCACGTCACGAAGAACTGATGAGCTCGAGGGCAAGGTGCAGCAGCTTGAGCAGAAGTTGGATGACATTACTAAGGAGCGTGAGGAGCTCAAGAAGAACCAGCAGCCCAACCTTGCACTTGGAGGACATGATCCATGGGGAGAGTACTTGGCCAAGCAGGGTGGAAAGCAAGGAGAGCGTGAACAACGTGGAGACGCTAGCAAGCAAAGCTCACTCAGCGAGGAGGATCAACGATCTCTCATCATTGGTGGATGGTTACCAGATACCAGGAGGCTTACCATCGAGGATGAAGCAAGGGTGATCTTCGAGAACAACTCCTTCGAGAACCTCCTTGATGGGACGAAACTCGTTATCTTCGGCCCCCGCAGGAGCTTCGGCATCCTTCGCTTCAAGGTGAGGGAGAACGAGGATATTGCAGGGGTGAAGGCTCGAATGTGGCAAGTGATACAAAAGGTTCGCGCGGATAAGCACATCCTTCCCTCCACACAGGGTGAGAACGATGGGAAAACCATGTGGGCTTCGTTCCTCAAGACGCCTGAAGCAAGGAAGCGATCGGCCATGTGCTCTCTCACCAGGCGGATTGTCATGCAACTGGCATCCTGCAACAGGAATGCTGATGGCGAAGTCGTCAACCAAAACGCCATGGCACCAGAATGCTTCGACATCGATTGGGGGACAGGCACGATTTGGAATGGGGTGCTCAAGATCGCCAGTGCTACGCATCGCCGTGACATCAACCGACAGGATGACTACATCAGTTTGTCGCAGGGGTGGGTAGATCTACGTGCAGTCACGACGTTGACAGGGGCCAGTTGGACAGAGGCCAACGAGGCCTTTGCAAGAGAGCAGTGATCATCCGACAACATGGGCAGTTTCACCTCTCCTAAGGAGACCTCTCTGCAAGTCACAAGCTGGAATTTGGGTGGGCAAAACTTGGATAAAGTTGCTGTTGCTTTGCCTACTACGGGTGTTTTCTTAATTCAAGAAATTGCAAGAGATGAAGAAGGGTGGCGGGAAAATGAGAGTGACACACACTTCTGGCTTCACCATCGTCACAAAGATCATTGGCGAGGGGTTGGCATAGGGGTGTCCTACGAGATCTTTGACTCCGTCATTGCAAAGAAGGGCACTCGCCGGGGGATGGCTGCGCTGGTCAAACTTAAAGATCGAGGGCGCATCGTGCTCGGGAGCATTCACTGCCATACTGGTGTGACAAACAAAGTATACCAACAAGCAGTGGACGAATTTTGGCATGAGCTTGGGGGCAAATGGCGGCACCGCCCGGCGGTCATTGGAGTCGATGTCAATGAGCAGCTACGGTGGAGCCCCGATGAGATTGGTGAGAAAGGGCAGGCTTCTGTGGTGGCTGGGACGGCTAACTTGAATCACATTCTTGCCCGAAGTTGCAGTGTGGGACTATCTTTCTCTCCTCCGATTCCTGCTCATCGCACGTTGCCAACGCACTTTCCTCGAGATGATGAACGTGAGGGGCGTCAAATCGATGCAGTGATGGGACGAATGGTCTCGTTGGGGGAAGTCGTTGTCAACTCTGAAGCTCGACACAAGATTGGGACCGACCATGCCGCTCTTCAGTGCTCGTTTCTGCTTAAACGTCACGCTCGTCGTTGGCCTGCGGATTCTCGGGCACGGTATGTCAATCGTGATCTACCTGATGCCCCCCTTGTGGATGCAAGTGACATTGAGAAGTTGGCTCGGCACTTCACTGCTCTGCGTCCTGGCAAAAAGTACAAGGACCCACCCGAGGTACAACAAGCCATCGAAGCTGCTCGTGCATCTGGGGATAAAGCAACGTGGAAACGAGTTCATCGACTCAGACGGCAGGCTCGCCGGCAGTGGGAAAGGGAAAGACTGGCAGGCATTCTTCAAGGAGATTGGTGTGCCTATCGCGCTAGGAAACTTGAAAAGGAAAAGAAGTCAGGATGGTGGGGGAGGATGCTCGACGGGAGAAGTGAGGAAGAAATTACGGTTGATGGTACACAAGCACTTGAGCAGCAAGATGTGTGGACCTGACCCTACAACCTGGGATGCTGAGCTTGACACCTTCATCTCAGAGGTCGGGGTGAACCATGAGTCTCCGTGGACCCCCTACTCGCTGGATGACTTGCTTGGGGAGCTTGGGAAAATGAAGAAACGCTCGTCTGTTGGGGCGGATGCAGTCGGGGTTGATCTTCTACAACAACTCGCTCAGCATCCTACGTTATCAGATGACTTCGTGCAGATTGTGAATCATATCATCTGTCACAATGCCCCTCCGGACAACTGGAGAAAGTCCATCTTAGCGCTGCTCGCGAAGCAGGAGACACCGACCGGACCGGGTGACTTACGTCCAATTGCTATGTCCTCAGCCCTGCAAAAGCTCACAAGCAGATTGGTCATGTCCAGGATCTTCCCTTCTCTTCGCACTGCTACAGACATTGCATGCTGTGGAAAGAGTCGGCAAGCAGCAGATATGTTGGGGTGCATGAGCAGATTGCGTGACATGGTGAAGGAGTGGAAAACCCCCCTTCTTGTGGCCAAGTTAGATATTCGGGGAGCCTTTGACGCGTTGTCACGCAGAAGCGTTGCCTCCTACCTGGTTGACAAACTTGCTAACGTTGAGTTCCGCAGAGAGACGCGCTACATGCTGGAACAGCTTCGGTCCAACGTGTTGGAAGGCCGTGTCCCGGGAGGTAATCTTCTTAGCATTCACTGTAGCACGGGCATACGTCAGGGGGCGCCCGAATCCGCTGAGCTTTTCGCCCTTGTCCTCGAGGCAGCTCTCGACGAAATGCGAAGCAGCGAAGAGTGGCTGAAACTAGGTTACCCCATACAAGACTTGGCCATGGACCTCCTAATGTATCAGGACGACAGTGTGCTATGGGAAAGTGGGGTGGGACGCTTGGAGACCAAACTCCGCCTCATTAGCCAAGCCTTGACCAAGCTAGGGCTCGTGATTGCGCCGGAGAAGACAGCAATCTGCTCCAGTGCGGACTACAAAGGTGCCCGTCGGCTCGTGATTGCCGATGCACAGGTTTCCGTTCTACCAGCAGGGCAGCCCATCAAGATCCTTGGCTTGCACTTTGCTTTTGATGGAGATCAAAGCCGGCAAGCTCGTGAACTTATTTCCAGAGCCAGGGCCGCCTTCTACCAACAACGTGACCTGTTGAGGGGCCATGCACCTTGGCGGGGTGATGCGATGGAGTACTCGTGTACGCAATCTCCAATTTGGACTTGCGGGACATTGGTGTCGGCAATGGGAAGACGATGGAGGTGGAATACAGGGCTCTCCAGGGCTCATGGCCCGTTTCCTTCGCTGGCGCAACCTGGAGTGGTGGAAAGGGCAGCAACAGCTGTCCACCCAAGTGGGAGGGATCAGGCATCCTGGGAAATTCTTCCCGGCGAACACGGAGAGAGACCTCGCCGAAGCACTTGGGGTGAACTGGATGGAAGTCGCCTCTGATCGTGCATCCTGGGAAAATGCCAGGGCGCAATGGCTTCGTCATTCTGATACCCACTGGTGTAGGCACCGTCAAATGGCCCTCTCCTCCTCATAGACCCCTTCCACTTTGAACCCTGCAATACGTGATCGAGGTTGGTCAACCTTGGTGCAGCCCTATCTTTCAACGCAAGCAGAGTTGGGTGCGATACTGTCCATGTTGTTGCTCCTTCAGTTGTGAAGCTTCACTGGCTGAGTCTGATGAGGGCGACTTCGCACAGCATCTTTGCTCGAGATCTGTTTTGTCCCCCGCCGTCCCTTTGGCCTTGCACCATGGCAGCGGCGACCTCCTGGACAACCTCGTGGGTGACGTCGCTGGTGATGTGGACCCTCGGGAGTCCCTTTGTCAATGCGGAGGGCGCTCCACCCCTTTGGCTCGTTCTGATGGAGCTCCCTGCTCCGTTTTACGTGACGCCTATGTGTTCCACGATGAGTTCAACATCTTCAATGACTTCTGGAGCGTCAATGACATTTTTGAATTCGACTTGGATACTCTCTACGACCTCTACGACCTCTACGACTTGGACATCTTCTACGGCTTCGGTGACCTCAACGACCCCTACGACTTCAACCTCTACGACTTCGACCTCTTCCGCGACCTCAACGACCTCCGCCAGTTTGTCCTCCTCGGTGACTCCCTTAAATGCGACCAGCGAGACTGCTCGGGGTGCTGCACTGGTTGGAGTAGATGCTTCCGTGCAGTTTTGGGACACCATGCAGGTGCTTGGCCCCTTGGGTGTCTGTGGCAGCCATTGGGAGTGGAACACCGGGACGAACTCTTGGAGATCCATCGCTCCTTCTGGGGGTGAGGATGCTGCCATGATCTGGTCGCCCACGACTTCAACGACATCAAGGCTGTTCTCCATGTGTTCGCCTGCTTCGTCGACTCGAACAACTACCCCGGGGTGCACGTGTTCTCTGGAGACCTCTCCTACCTGGACCTGTAACTCCTGGATGATCAACATTGCCGTTGACACTGTGGCGATCTCACAATCACTCCCTCTGAGCACTACTGCGACCACCACCTTTGCCGCGTGCTGGGGGGAATTTTCGTGCTGTACTGGGGCTACAGAGGGAGAAGTAAATACCTACGAGCCCGAGGCGACGGTCGAGGAAATGCAGGAGATCCCGTTGGAAGAATTGCTACAGAATGAGAGGCTGGGACGACTCGACAAACTGGGCACCTGCTCATGGGCTTGGACCAGGAAGCAGCAGACTTTGTGGTGGTGACGGAGAGGCGCTCCAACGTGCCTCCGGGGGTGGACTACGCCCATGACGTCTTGCATCGCCTTGCGCTCCGCATCGTCGAAGAGGCCTATGGGGCGGAGCGATATGGGTGTGGACCTGTCATCCGATGGGCCACGACAACAGCGGCATTGGAGTTTCGCGATGCGGGTCGACAATTACTTCTCCTTGCTGACCTCATCACAGATAATCTTGTACGAGACCCATCGGAGCCCAGGACTGCACCACCAGGGTCGGCGATCATGTATCGCACTACAGAGCTTGGGCGCTGCGTTGGAGAGGAAGCTTTGGTCAGATCATTCAAGGGGTGATGGACCATCATGATGCTGATCATCGACGCCAACAAGCTGACCTCCAGGGGCGTGAAGAACATGAGAGGCGACTTCAAGAACTACGTGAGCTACAGCAACTGCGTGTTCCCCTTCCCCCTGGTCCTGAAGCTGGCCTGGGTGTGCCAGTGGCAAAACGACCCGTGGGAATGCAAGCGGTTTCAGAAGAGAAGGCCGCTCGGCAGCGGAGATTGCTGCAGGGCCCAGTTCGTCGGGGGACACGTTGGCGTCTCTGTCAACCTTCGTCACGAACATGGGTGGGACGTCTACCTCTCCCTCGATGGCTTCGGCTGGTCTACCTGCTCATGCTTGCGCACCACTGGGGAGTACGGGACCGGCCAGCTCTACGTTGGGTGCGTCGGGGACGTTGACATCGCCTACTGTGCCGCCTCGGCCGAAGTTTCGTATGCCGACCACTCCGATTATGCCGCCGCCCAGCACTCCAATGCGCCCGTTGCCTACCACCCCTCACCCGCTGGATATGGCTCCTCGCACTCCTGACCTTCCTGAACGCACACTCCTGACCCCAAACCACCTGGGGTGAGAGCAAACAGGGCCCGTCGTGCCAGGCCGTATGACACACCTGAGCACCCCCTCCACATTATACCTTCGGCTCCCACGCGGCACTATGGCTTTACTACACCCTTCGATGAGCGTGGGCAGCCATGCACACCGGTGATCCCTGCGACTCCGAAGCATGGACCGGGGGTGCCACGCACGCCATTGGAGGAGGACGACCTGGAGGAAGTGTTGGCGGACATACTTGGGTCGGCGACTACTACGTCTGCAACGTCTACCACGTCTACAACGTCTGCGACAACTTGGTTGGGGTGGGCAAGCTCGGGGTCTGTGAGCACTACGACGAGTACGACGACTTCCACCCTGGTGACCGATGTGGGCGAGTCTGACCTGGTGGAGGACCCGGGCGAGGACGTTGATTTTGCTGTGGAGAATGATGGTGAAGAGACGAATGAGGGTGACGAAGCGAATGACATGGTCGAGGTGGAACTCGATGAAGAGGACGACACTGGTGGGGAAGGTCTCCATGAAGCAGAGGATGGCTTTTCCCCTGGCGGGGGTGTCCGCAGTGAGGGTCCGACTGAAGACGTGCTGGAAGAGACAGAGGATACGGGGGCTGGAGTGGGACGCATCCTGGATGAGGCTCTCCACTTGTCGCCCCGGGACCGGCACCTGGCGATTTATGTGGCTCGCATGGTGGTGGCCGAGGTGATTCCTGGCCCTGCGACTGCTCTACGCGTAGATGCGAGGGTGACTCCGCCTCGGATGTTGTGGCATGGGGGGAGTGTGCCACCGTGGCACCAGAGCACTGGTCTTCCGCCTCCACGCTTCTCCCACCCCTATGATCGACCCTCGACTGCTGCTTCGCGTCGACCGTTTCGAGATGCGGGGCGCTCCTGGACCACCTCAAGCACTACGTTAGCCTCCACGTCAACTTTGTCCACTACGACATCCTTGACCTCAACGACCTCAACCTGGACTACCTCAAGCACTGTGTCCACCTCGGGTTGGCAGTCTACGGCATCCTTGACTTCGCTACCTCCTACTCTGTCTGTGTCTTCGTCTGTGGTCTCTACTCTGTCGGTGGTGCTCGCTACTGCCTGCTCGTCCATGTCGGAATTGGGAACGACGTTGACTACTTCGACCCCGTGATCTGGAGCTTATGTCGTCATGCATGTTCGGTTCGTGGAGTTCTGAGTGGTTGTTTCACCTCAGTGTAAGCTCGTTGAGGCGGAGTCAGACGGAAAGTCCGATTCAGTACACTTAAAAAAAAGCCCAAAAAGCCCAAAGCCCCAAACATCGGTTTCTATAACCCTAAACCCTAAACCCAAAAAGCCCAAAGCCCCAAACATCAGTTT